AACAATATTTGTAAGACACCTCCCTCCGAAACGGATTCATCGAAAGGACAGCGGATAGAAAAGCAACTACTTTAGTGCCTATTATTACCAGACTTGTATGACGGGGAACTGTAATACGTATGGACGAATGGAAAGGTTGCAACTCTCTGTAATCTCTAGGATACATATATCATAGAATCAACTATTCAAGTGATTTCGTCGATCCCGTTACGAGGACATATACAAATTCCTTCGAAGGACTTTTGGGCAGGTTGAAAAATAGGATAAGTGCTATAAATGGATACCAAAAGGATCTTGTAGCAGTAAATAATTCCCCAAAATTATTGACCACAGCAATCACTCACCATTGGACGCTGACCACCACTTTTTAAGTCAACTTGTTTAGCTGAAGGCTTCCGGTCAAGCATCCCCGCCATTTGGTACCTCGTCGTGTCACGTGCACGATCACTAGCCAGCTAAGTGTTCGTCTGACGACTTGTTTTGGTCCCGAAATATATCACGTAGTTTGGACGATCAAACATTGGCTTTTGCTTTGCCTTTGGTATGCGAGAACTAATAAGTTAGAGGCTGTGTAAGAGAATTCCGTCAACCCCTAAAATCTCATTTATAGTCATTTGGATGAATATATGTACAGAGTGTGGAGTATCTTTTCTATTGACAGTCTGATGCTGAACTGGGAGATGTTTCTCTCACATATCAGAGGAAGATACCCCCTGTCACAGTTTCATGATTTTGTATGCTTTTTTCTATAAATATACGTTTCCATTTATCACAAATGCCTCTTTATAGTGATTGGTCCGCCCAAGGTCGTTTACTGATTGGTTGTTAGTGATGCTGAAAGTTTAACTTTGCCGTCAAGCTTGCAGTAAAGACACTGACTGAGTTCCCTATCGAAATCTACGTAGTTCTGAAACCAGCCAGCTGTTGAGAGGCTGATTTAAGGGCTAGAATTAATTTGGAAGACAAAGAGTTGTAATTCCTCCCACGGCAACCGGGGAACAGCGACATCCTTCGAGATACAGATCTAGACCCCCTTCTCCTCCTAATATTTACTATCAAGCTCCTGTTCGTAATTAAAACAGACTGCCTGGCGTCCACCGACAATTTTAAGCTTTAGTGAACTTCCCACATACTAGTTGTTGAGGTTCGTTGTAAGAAGGATTTGATAGTTTGACCACCAGTATTTGAAATTTACGAAGTGGGAGAGTTTAGTTATGTGTGGTTCGCAATTACATGCACATTTACCCGATAAGTACTTCTTCTAACACTCACGGCGTAGAAGAATCAGGAAAAATTTGCAAACCAAGGTATGAAGAACGCAGCAATCTGAAAACGTTTTATGATAGTATGATTACTTCTCAAGGTTTATCTATGAACACAGGTCGTATATTTGATCTCACATGTGTCAGATCGTATTTGGAATGGGGGTTGGTGGCAGCATGCATGTATTTCAGGTTTGAAGAAGACCTATTACAATTAGCTGAAGTGATAGGAACCAAAATGAACTCCTAATAAAAAGACTGGTTGGATTCACGAGACTTATTCGTACCACTGTATCCGTGATTGGGTACTGGCCACATATAAGCATTCTTTATCTTTTACGATGACCTGCATGCCTTCCTTCTTGAAACGATTATTTTAAATTAAACAAATACAGCATGAAATGTCTACTTCTAATAGTTCATTTCTTCCATCGCACTGTGACTCCATGGGGTCTACTAACGCAACAAGTCGTTTCAACATCCCGTATAAATTCATTTGGAAAAAATTGGATATACAATGTGCAGCGAATCAAAACGATCAAAATGGGTCCAAAGCCTAGTTTAGTTGACTGTCTAAATATCTAACTTATTTTTGTTGAATTGCTTGGGTATTCAAGGTCAGTTTTGCGCACCTTTTTCTAATGAATTTAACCTTTAGAAGTGTAAGGCATGGTAAGTTTGGCGGTTTTCTAATGTTCAAACCATGCTTGTCTACTTTCAGGTTGGCTGCGAAGTATGCAGGGATTGGTTACCCAAGACGAGGCAACGGATGACCAATAGGAGTGCCCTTCCCTCTTATCTAATTGTATTGCGATTGGTTGTAAATATAATACTTGACCTTGAGTCTTCGTTCTTACTAGCACGCAACACTTGTGTGATCACGCTGCTAACGTGCGCTTTGCTCTCTGTTTCAGATCATTGCTTGACGAGTGGGATTACATAAATGGCGAGCCTGCCAACGAAAAAACTTTCTTCTTCCAAGTCTCGACCCAATGAGGCTTCCAAGAACACTTCGCCTGTCAAAGAGACAGCATCCAACGAGGTGGATCAATTAGCTGAAGTGAGGGCTCCAGCTTTTCAGTCAAATCAGCCTGCTTCGCGATATGTCCATCCCTTGCCGCATACACTGGAGGTGGGTGATGATTTCGAGCTGTGGTCGGACAAGGTGTGCCGATACATTGATCTGATGAACGTGCCTCACCCGAACGCATTCGTCATCGATTCTGTTGGACGGTCCTTGGAAATGTACACAATTGGTTTGGATTACGTGCATATGCCCTTGACCACCCTGTTGAGTACTCTAAGAGCACGTATAGTGCCACCAATACCTCCCATTGAAGCGCTGAAAAGATTCAGCGAGTGTAACCAGAGACAAGGTGAATCTATCAACCAGTTCACCTTACGTCTCCGCAAGCTTGCGCGTCAAGCTATGCAGGACAAGACATATTCAGAGGTTGAAAACGCCATATATTCCAAGTTCTTGCAGGGTGTCGACGTCCGTTACAGGAAGGACTTCAACTTGCACACTCCAGCATCCATGGCAGAAGCGGAAGCTAGGGCACGCCTAGTGGAAAGCCTGGAAGAGCCAGGAACCACATGCCCACAAGTAAACGCAATGGGATATCAGCACACAACAACAAAGCATGCACAGAATCCTACACCACCGTGGAAAGGACGCCCACAGTCGCAATCCACTTCAAGAAACGATTGCTACTACTGCAGGCGGTTTGGTAAGCTTGCTAGGAGTTGTGGTCACAATGCAGGTGAGTCACATGTCGATATGAATTGTGTGCCTACTGTAAACCTAATCGGTGTCACCTCCTCCCCGAAAGTTGTAGGTTATATAGGTGGAAAAAAGTGTGTTATGTTAGTTGACTCAGGAGCAACTTGTTCTGTCATACATTCCTCATGTGTTCCAGAGACGTTTAGGCGAACAATAGGGACTCACAATTTGCGGCTTACGACAGCCAATGGAGATTGCATGCAATCCCAGGGACTGGTCCTGCTGCCACTTAAATTGGGAACACTGTCACTTCAACACAATTTCATCATCTCTACCCGGGTGCCGTGGCAGGTAATCTTGGGAGTCGACCTCCTGGAAAAGCTGTCCGGAATAATAGATTGTAGTCAGAGGACTCTTATACTGAAGGACTGTTCCATCCCATTTATTGTAGGGAACGACAAAGAGCACGGCACTTTTGGCGTGCAGGGAGATGCTAAGAATGAGAAACAGCGAATGCTGACGACTATAGAACCCCTACCATCGGAAACGGCTGCCAACTTTAATAAAATGCTAGACAAATATGAGGACTGTTTTGACTGGGATGGAAAAAGCCCGGGAAGAACAAAACTGGTCCAACATCACATAGAAACGGGTAACGCCCCACCTTGTAGACAACCTGCACGGCGAGTACCTGCACATTACCAGAAGGAGCTTAACAGGTTAGTTGATGAACTGTTAGAGAAAAATGTCATCAAACCATCCGTATCTCCATGGGCTTCACCGGTAGTTTTAGTTAAGAAATCGAATGGGACACTCCGGTTATGTGTAGATTATCGTAAGTTGAACCTGTTAACTAGACGAGACTGCTTTCCCCTTCCACGCATAGACGACACTTTTGATGCCTTAGAAGGGTCGAATTGGTTTACCACTCTAGATCTGGCATCGGGATATTGGCAGGTTGAAGTACACCCAGATGACAGGCAAAAGACAGCATTCATTGTACAAGCAGGCCTGTATGAGTTTGAAACAATGCCGTTTGGGTTAGTCAATGCCCCAGCAACATTCCAACGCCTCATGCAAACGGTCTTGAGTGATTGCATACCAGGTAAGTGTTTGGTATATCTAGATGATGTTATCATACATAGTAAGACGTTGACCGAACATTTAAGTGATATTTCCGAAGTATTAGAACGGATGCAGACCGTTGGGTTAAAACTGAACCCATCGAAATGTCAATTCTTCAGGAAAGAAGTGTGTTTCTTAGGTCACATTGTTTCAGCCGAAGGCATTAAATGTGATCCAGCAAAAGTTCAGGAAGTTAAAGACTGGCCGCTCCCAAACTCAGCCCCCGAGTTACATAGTTTTTTAGGGTTAGCCTCGTATTATCGACGTTTTGTACTTAACTTCTCTTTCCTTGCAGCTCCTCTATTCGACATTCTCAAGAAGAAAGACTACAATTGGACAGCATCAGCTACGGAAGCCTTCGAAAGACTTAAAAACTGTTTATGTAGCCCCCCTATCCTAGCGTATCCCAATGTTTCTGACCAGGCAGGTCCATTCATCCTAGATACAGATGCTAGCGACTCTGGTATCGGGGCAGTTTTGTCTCAAAAAGACGCAGATGGAGTAGAAAAGGTGATAGCCTATGCAAGTCGAGCACTCAACAAGAGTGAGAAGAATTACTGCACCACGCGGAAAGAAATGCTGGCACTGGTCAATTTTGTTAAACACTTTAGGGCATATCTCCTCGGTAGACATTTCATTGTACGCACTGATCACAAAGCCCTTAGCTGGCTACATAACTTCAAAGAAGCTGAGGGTCAGATTGCCAGATGGCAAGAACACCTACAAGAGTATGACTTCGAATCCATGAACATCCCGTATAAATTCATTTGGAAAAAATTGGATATACAATGTGCAGCGAATCAAAACGATCAAAATGGGTCCAAAGCCTAGTTTAGTTGACTGTCTAAAAATCTAACTTATTTTTGTTGAATTGCTTGGGTATTCAAGGTCAGTTTTGCGCACCTTTTTCTAATGAATTTAACCTTTAGAAAGTGTTTGCCGGTTTTGACGCGTTTGTGTCGCTTCCAGCACTCAGAAGGTTGGAAATTTCATTCAGTATTACATTTTTTGCCAGGTGTTGCCGGACCATATATCTCTGTTGATGCGGAAAATTACCCTGGTCATGTTTTGCTCAGTCCACTGCAAAGATCTTTTCTTCGTTTTGGCAGCGGAATAGGATGCCTACTTAACCCTAAAAGGGCAGGTAAGCCGCTATGCTGCATTTTATGCCACAGATCTACTCAGCACGTTCGGAGAAACTAGTGGGGAATACGCTCTACGTAGGATACATAGCCGCATGCTAAATCACCCTGAGGGTTGTCGCATATTAAGGTATTTCAGTTTCTCATTTTATCTTTCAGTGAACGGCCAACTATCCGTACCAATACAGTTGACCTAAATGCTCTTCGCAGTCTACCTGAAGACACGTTTGGTAAAGCGTACACTAACTTTTTAGACAAATATGTAAGCATCATGTCTTTTTAGTGGTTCAGTTTTAGAAATACTCACCAGATGAAAGACATTATGTCAAATTTGTTAATGACCCGGACTTGGCTTATGTTATGCTTCGGTACAGAGAAGTGCATGACTTGGTTCACACGTTACTTGGTCAGCCAACTGACATGTTGGGGGAGGTTGTCGTAAAATGGGTCGAAGGCATACAGACACTCCTCCCCATGTGTGTGACTGCTGCATATTTTGGTTCTCTGCGTTTAGCACCCAAGTTAGTTTTGCTAACAGTTTTCCTAATTTAAATGTCCTCAATTATGTCAGTATAAGTTATTTTGTACTGCTTATTGTTATTTCTAGACAAACAATGAATTACATATCAAGTCATTTGGAATACGCCATTCAAACTGGTAGACAGGCTGACTTTCTGATGTGTGTCTACTTTGAAAAACACTGGGAGGACAGACTTGAAGATTTTCGGGCTTCATTGAATATTCAACCCCCTCCACCTCGTCAAAAACTGCCGTAACTTATCGTTTTATATCCTGAATTATACTAATATGTAGAAATCTTGATATTCTGTTGTGTAATTTGTACGTTACCTTGCTATGTAATCATCAGATATAAATATCTCGAATTAAATATATCATTTTTGAACAATTGTAAAGTCAGTGTATGTCAGAAATTTGGCTAGCAATGATTATTTGGTATATTTACATGTGAAATAAGTTTTTTTATAGTTTGGTTTTGTAAGGGTTCGTTATGTTTTTACGAGTCGATCACGGATTGATATCAATGGTTCTCTAATCGACATCAATCCGTGATCAACTCGTAAAAATATGAAATAAGTCTTGCCACATGCCCTTATGTCATAGAAACAGGCATACCCATCATTTGCTAACCAATAGACAGATGGGACTAGACCATGGCTCAGGTAAACTTCGGTCTCACCCTTCATAAATATGAACGTGTGATAGATGGACTGTTTCAAAAGTAGTGATTTTTACTATTTTTTTAAAGCATCATGTCATTCTGTCCGGCGTCCCAGGAGTGCGAACGCTTCAATGACCTTGAACGCATGCTAGTCGTTGGCTAAAGGCACCTATTATTATCATAGCTGAAAAATCAATACTATTCATCAAATAAGGAGCAAATTTCACCCATATAACACTTTTAATTACTGTGTGGACAATGTGTTAATATCTCGTTAGGGTTATGATAAGGGTTAAATTAAGTATCGGGGTTAGGGTTAGGGTTACGGTCATAATTGGGATTAGGGTTAGGTTTACGGCAGTACAAGGATTTTCATTAGGGTTAGTGTTAAGTTCAGGGTTGGGATTAAGGTTAGGGTTGCGATAAGGGATAGATTTATAGTTAATGTCATTTATTTTAATTATTTTTATCCTCATTTCTCTTGTATCTAGTCGTCGATCCTCTTACTCAAACCATAATAATTTAACTTTGGAGAGGACTGCACAGGAAGAGAAGAGAGATGGATGATTCACAAAACAGCACATCTTCAGTTACTTCGGTGAATACTTCTATAGAAACTAGTCCAACTTAGGAGCTGATACTCTTCATCATAACTGGGACGTATTTTTAAGTCATGTCAGAGAAAGATAATCTTTTTTATATGATTTCATGCATTTTCTTGTTAATATACGTCATTTTTTGTGGAAAAATTCCTCAGTTTTATGATTAGTTGGCTAAAGGTCACTCATGCGTTCGCATCCCTTGGGACGCTATTGTAGAACTTTGCCTCCTTTCCTTCTGCACACAGTGATTCCTAAGACTAGAAGTTGATGTGCCGAATTAGTTTGATTAATCTTTAACTTCTGCTAAGTTAGAAGCTACATTTTCTAATTCCAGAAGTATCTTCTTATATTACTTTTTACTTTACTTCGGCTATCTCCTACGGGAGGATGAGCCGGCTCCATGAACCATGAAGTTTCATGGGAATTGGGTACGAGTGATGTCCCCAGCATCGCTCGGATCTTCTTATATTGGTCTTGTTCGTTCTGTCTTCACACAAAGAATTACTACTGGCATTTGAAAATCTGTGCCTATAAGAGTTTTGACACACAGAAAATATTATCACTGACGTTTATTTCTTCTCCAACTGTTTAGTGCTACTATCCTTGCCTTAAATGCGTAGCTAATACTCATAAGCTTTAATCCCACATGTACATACATTACTGAGTTATGCGTTTGAGCATATACTTGATGTTATCAGATTAGATAGTGAGGAAAAAATTAGATACTGTAATGTTAAGCAGTAGTTTAGTAATATGTCTGTCTGGATTCAACAAAGAACTTGGCACCGAAGTGCAACAGTTCGACTTGCCACGTTGCGAATAGCACACAAAGGTAGACAAGATGAGTGAAGAGAATCAATACAGTCTGACAAGTATAAGAGTGAAACACAATGGGTAATGGTAGAAAGAAATATGAAAGATTACAGAGACTGAATACATCTGCGCCATTGACAACGATTTTGAGCCATGTCACGCATTGCCTCCAGCCATTGATTCTCAGAGTCCCGAGGGCCCCAACCCGGAACTCTGCATCTCCCTACCTGACCGACTCAGTTTAACTGTCAAGAATTTCATGGATTGATGAGGCCATGTTTTTGTTTGGCCACCACTTACTCTTTTCCAACCTGCACCTATATCAGCTAGTAATGCCCGTCGGAGGAGGCGATGGTTAGGCATGCGCAGCACGTGACCTACCCATCTCAATCTATGTAACTTTATAGCCTCGTCCATTGATTTTCCCTGTTTGCCCAACACTACGCCTAACGTCAACATTACTTACCTTATTATACCACCTTATTAAACGTGAGAAAGAGATCGCAGACATCTATGATCGAAAGCAGTCAACCTTTTCATGTCTTCAACTCGTATTGGCCATGTTTCAGAGCCATAGAGGACGGAGCGAACTTCTGAGCAGTACACACGTCCCTTGGTTGATAGCCAGCCGGATGTCACGCCTACGCCAGAGATGGTGTGAGTTGGCGAAATCAGCTCGAGTTTTTTAGATCCGTGCTGAGATTTCGTCGCCAATCAGTCCGTTGGTGCTGATACAACTTCCCAAATAGGTGAAGTGGTGGTCAACATGTTCTATCACTTCACTCCCTATCACTAAGCTAGGAGTTGACGTAATCCAGTCCTGTAGCAGCATCTTATATTTTATAGGAGCTAATCGCATGCCAAACATACGAAGATTGCTGCTCAAGGTGTTCAGAAGACTCTGCATTTTGTCAGCACCCCCCCCCTAACAGGACTGTCATCTGCATATTTTAAGTCCATAAGACTACTCCCTGGTAACAAGTCGATTCCTAAGTCATTACGTTCAGTTAAGGATACTTCCATCAGGATATCTATGATGAAGTTAAACAGAAATGGGGAAAGTGGACATCCCTGTCGGACACCACTGGTTGTTATCAATTCAGATGACAATTCCCGACAAGCCCTTACACGACTGCGTGAGTTTGAATAGAGTGCCTTGATTAGTGCAATGTACTTTCTTGGCACTCCCTTCACAGTCAAACATTGCCATAGTACCTTTCGATCCACGGAGTCGAAGGCCGCCTTTAAGTCAAGAAATATGACAATTGTTGGACGCCGAAAAGTGTGTCTATGTTCTAGGATCTGTCGGAGAGTGAAGATATGGTCTATGCACCTTCTACCTGGTCTAAAGCCTGCTTGATTTCCCCTCGTTTGTTCCTCCCGAGTTCTACTTAGTCTATGCATGATTACTCAGCCTAGGATTTTAGAAACTATGTTCGTTAGGTTGATCCTCCTATGATTATCACACGAGGACTTGTTTCCCTTCTTGAATATCGGTATAATAAGTGACTTACCCAGTCTGATGGAACCGTCTCTGATTCCCAGACTTTGCCTAGTACCTCAGTTAATCTACAAACTAGTATGTCACCCCCATATTTAAAGACCTCCGGAATAATTCCGTCGGGTCCTGCCGCTTTGCCTCGTTTCAAATTACAGATAGCTTTTGTGACCTCACTTACAGACGGCGGATCAGTGTCTATATCCCATTCGGGTGTGTGCTGGATGGCGGGGAGGTTCAGTGTGGCTGTAGGCAAGTTAAGTTGTTCCTCAGAGTGTTCTTTCCAGCGTTCAAGGCGTCTATCCTGAGAGCTAATTAACGAGCCATTTTTCTCAGAAATAGTCTCACTTATGATTTACCTTCTCCCACCCGTTTCCCTGATGAGTCTAAAGTGTTGCCTATCACCGATGCTTTTTCCATCTCTTTCTCCTTTGTTACCCACCACTGTTCACGGTCCTTGCGTAGACTTTTCGTTAGTTTCCTTTTGTGCAGCTTTCGCTCCTCATTGAATTCGGAGCTCGCCGGAATAAGTCTTCTAGCATCTATCAGTCCGGATGAGGCAGTCGAAATCCAATGGTTTTTACTCACCTTTGGATTTACCTTATTCACAGCTTTTACAGCTGTATCTATGGTTGACTGAATATTCTTCCAGGCTTCTTCAGGGTGAGCACAGCTGTCGAACTCAGATATGTGTTTAGCTAGTTCTTCCTCAAAAAGGGACTTAGTTTCCTGATTGAGCTGGGGACGTCATGGGTACGCCGCCAGCTGTTTCCTACGTCCGTTTATTCGTAAGCACACACGAGCCCGGACCAGTGTGTGATCGGTATCCTTGACGGACACCACTGGTCGTCATCAGTTCAGATGACAGCTCGCCGTAAGCCCTAACCTGGCTGTATGAGTACGAATAGAGTGCTTTATATTGCACTGATTAAAGCACTCTATTCGTACTCATACAGCCAGGTGAGGGCTTACGGCGAGCTGTCATCTGAACTGATGACGACCAGTGGTGTCCGTCAAGGATGCCCATTATCTCCTTTTCTATTCAACTTCATCATAGATGTGTTAATGGACTTAACTCTAGGTGACTTCAGCGACTCAGGAATTGACTTGCTACCGGGGAATAATCTCGTTGACTTGGAATATGCAGACGATATAGTCCTTCTAGGCGAAGACGCTGACGAAATGCAGAGTCTTCTAAACACCTTGAGCCGCAATCTACGAATGTTTGGCATGCGATTCGCTCCCGCCAAATGCAAGATGATGTTACAGGACTGGACTACATCGAAGCCTAGTTTAAAAATAGGAAGTGAAGTGGTAGAGCACGTTGACCGCTTCACTTATTTGGGAAGTACCATCAGCCCCAACGGGCTGATCTCTGACGAAATCTCAGCACGAATACAAGGGGCTCGTTTCGCATTTGTTAGTTTACGCCGACTCTGGCGTAGACGAGATGTTCGACTATCGACCAAAGGGCGGGTGTACTGCTCATCAGTCCGCTCCGTCCTCCTGTATGGTTGTGAGACCTGGCCACTCAGAGTGGAAGACATGAAAAGACTAGCTGTCTTTGATCATAGGTGCCTGCGTTCTATTTCCCGTGTAAAGTGGCATAATAAGGTGAGCAACATGGAGGTTAGGCGTAGAGTTCTAGGTAAACAGGGGAAATCAATCGACGAAGTCGTGCAGCTACAAAGACTGAGATGGTTAGGACATGTGTTACGTATGCCAAGTCATCGCCTCCCTCGACGAGCAATGTTAGCGGATATAGGGTCAGACTGGAAAAAAGCTAGCGGCGGTCAAACAAAAACTTGGCATCAGTCAATGAAATCCACAACAGTTGGTCTAAGCCACGTAGGAAGGTGTAGACTTCCAGGCTGGGGTCCTCGGGACGGTAAAAATCTATGGTTGGAAACAATTGGTGACATGGCTCAAAATCGTTCTCAGTGGCGCAGATGCATCCACTCCCTGTGACTTATGATCTCCAATGAAACTGTTTTGTATTTCTTTATTACTCCTTTGTCTCACACCTCTACTCACTGTTTCTATTATGCTTTTCTTGTACTTTCTTCTCTTGCTTCGCGTGTTACACGGAATGTGGCGACTTGAACTTCCGCACATTTGTGCAAAGTTCTATGTCGAAAACAGACAGACAGACAGGTATCTACACACGTGTTCCAGAAGGAGCGACAATCTCCTACCGACCCACGCCAACGATAGCTTATTGCTATGTGGTCTATTTGTGTCCAGCGTTGGTTTGATGAAGGGGGTCGCCAAGTCAAACAGTGTCTCTCCTTGTGTTTGAAGTTAGTGTTTACAAGAAACAAATGATTATCAGAGCAGAACTGTAGGACGGTCACCGTTGTCGGTTCGCTGGCACGGAGCTCCATAAGTGTCACCGACATCCTTCTCAGATTGACACAATTTCCCTACTTGAGCATTAAAGTCACCAGCTAGAACGACTATATCTGGGCGTTTAACCTTTCGCAGCAAACTAGACAGCTTTTGGTAGAACTCATCCTTCGTTTCATGCGAACTGCAGTCAGTGGGGGCGTAGGCGGAGATTACGAAAAGGCATCGGCGAGTAGTGCAGTATTTTCTCCTTTCTACTGATCCGTTCAGACGGACAGCACACATTCGGCTATCTACCGGGATCCAGTCAAGTAATGTCTTTTCTGCCCTAGTACTCAAAGCTATCCCCACGCCGGCTAATCCTCGTGAACTAGCTGTGGCATCTCCTGACACCCTCAA